CTTCTCCTCCATTCTCCTCTCGGGATCTTGGGCATGCACGCACACGCGCCTGGCGTGAGTTTAAGTCACCGGATCCAGGACTTGAACCACAGTCAACTAATTCTCTATTTTGACCAGAGAATGACAGAGTGAAAGAGAGAGAGAAAAAGTGAGAAAGCAAGCCACCAGGTCCAGGACTCGAACCACAGTCAGCCATGTGGGGAGTCCAACACCCTCAACCACCACACGACCTGTCGGCCCTGTTGTTTTTGTTTTTCTGTAGAACTCCTATGTTTAGGAGGGAGAGAGAGAAAGAGAGAGAGAGAAGGAAAGTGAGAAATCACCCTCTTGGGGGGATGGCCACACCACAATCCTTTCTCTTCTTGAGATGTTGAGCACACAGTCACCAGGTCTGGGACTTGAACCGTGGTCGACCACATAAGAGTCCACCACCTTAACCACTGTGCTACCTGCCGGCCCCGTGTTGACCTGGGTATTGACTCTCTAACCCCGTGTTGGTCTCTCTCCACCCCTCACCCCACGTCTGGCGGTTTAGGTATCTCTGCGACTTCACCTACTACACGTCTCTGTACCAGACCCACGGCCGCTCAGCCTTTGTTCACGTCCCCCCTCTGGGGAAGCCCTACAACGCGGACCAGCTGGGCCGAGCCCTGAGGGTCATCATCGAGGAAATGCTGTCCCTCCTAGAGCAGTCGGAAGGCAACATCAGCTACTGCCACAAACACTGAGGGCCACGCGGGCCTCCCGAGACTTTGTCCCACCAGGGACCCCTGAAGGGCCATCCGCTCTCTGGGGCCTGGAAAATTCAAGCTCAGCCATTGGGGATCCGATTCGGATGAACTACTCTAACGTCTACACCTCCTGTTCCTTTCTCTCTGCAAAAAAAAAAATGCTTGGATGTGGAGGAGAGAGCTGAAGACTGTGTCCCATCTTCCTCCTCGATTTGGGGACACAGCTGCCATGACCAGAGGCAGGCCGGCGTGGTCCGGATGTCCACGGAGAATCTTGTTCAGATGGATGGTTCTAAGCGCTCAGGTCCCATGGCCGGGGCTAAGGGAGCGTCTGCTTTTCTAAAGCGGCGTGCAGAGGAATTGCAAAATTCGCTTTATTCTGGGGCTGGCTGTTCCCAACTCAGACAACGTCCAACGTCACAAGGGGGGGTCTTTGCCCTGTATTGTGTCCCCACAGTTGGGGCAGCCCCAGGAAGGGTGTCCTTGGAAGATGACATAGGTTTTTTTTCATTCATTCTTTTTCTTTCTTTTCTTTTCTTTTTCTTTCTTTCTTTCTTTAAGTTTTGCTATAGGCTTTGCCTGCATTTGCCGAAGAGAGAGAAAGAGAAAGGGAAATTGAGAAATCACCCCCCTGGGGGGATGGCCACGCCGCAATCCCTTCTCCTCCATTCTCCTCTCGGGATCTTGGGCACGCACGCATCCCCACCCGGCATTTTTTTCAAGTCACCGGGTCTGGGACTCGAACCACTTAGTGGGTCATGTGAGATCCAGCCGCCTTAATCTCCATGCCACTCTGTTGACCCTCTTTCTTTCTTTTTCTCTTTTTTTTTAAAAAAAAAAACAAAAACAAAATACAGTAATACCGTGTGGGGGACAGAGTAATTTATATTCCCTCTGGGTTTAAAACACGGGCTTTAACCACCAACAAATCATCTTCTTTTTCCTGGGACAGGCTGGCTCTTGCTTCATGTCCCGAAAACTCGCCTTAAGATGTCATGTCTTGGGACCAGCAGTTAGCGTCATGGCTATGTCACTGGACTCCCACGTAGTCGACTGCGGTTCGCGTCCCAGACCCGGTGGCTTAAACTCACGCCGGGCGCGTGTGCGTGCGTGCCCAAGATCCCGAGAGGAGAATGGAGGAGAAGGGATTGTGGCGTGGCCATCCCCCCTGGGGGGTGACTTCTCACTTTCTGTCTCTCTGTCTCTCTCTGTCTGTCTGGTGAGCACACACGCCCTATAGCAAAAACCTCTAAAAAAAAAAAAAAAAGATGTCATGTCTTTGTTTGGGGGTCCATTATGAGTCTCCCTTTTGCTGCCTCAGCTTGTGCCCACAGATAATGGGGGTGCTTTTGCCCTTGAGTTGTGGACTGTCCCTACAGGGTGTCCAGAGAGGCCACCAGTGGGACAGCAAATTTCACCCTGTTTGTGACTTGATTATTACTATTTTTTAATATGGAAGATTTTCCGGCAGCTGCCAAGCTGCCTAACATCTGGCCTAGACAGGCAAGATCTTCGTGCTGGGCGCTCTGATGGGGGTGTGGAGGCTGCAGTTTGCTAAGCCCTTGCGTGTCCGGGCATGTTTGAGCAAAAGGGAGGTGTGGCAGCCCGCGGGGTTTTTGTAAATGGTTTTTGGAGATGAGCCCAGGACTCCGGGTCAATTTTTCTTTCACTTCCTGGTGACTTTGTACTTCGGCAGGAGTGAGGGTGGAGGGATCTAAATTCAACTGGACCTTGACACCATCAGAGAGAGAGAGTGATGGAGAGGAAAACCGCAAAATAGGAATTCAGGCCCTGGGACAAGATGCACACTTTGGAAATCATTTTCTTCCATTCTTTCTTTTCTTTTTTCTTCTTTTTAAGTTTTTGCTGTGGGGTGCGTGCAGTTGCCAGAGGGAAAAAAAAAGAGAAAAAGGGAAAGTGAGAAATCATCCTCCCCCTGGGGAGGGCAGGGAAAGGCTACACTGCCATCCCTTCACCTCTATTCTCTTCTCTGGATTTTGGGCACACACGCACATGCACCCGGTGTGTTTTTTCTTTCAAGCTGCCGGGTCCAGGATTCGAACTGTGCAATCAGCCATGTGGGAGTCCACTGCCTAAAGCACTGTGCTACTGGGTTGATCCAGGACTTTTTTTTTTTTTTCTTTTTTAGGTTTTGGCTATAGGGTACATCCCCTGACTGGAGAGAGACAGAGACAGAGAGAGAGAGTGAGAAATCACCTCCCGGAGGAATGGCCACAGTGCAATCCCCTTGCTTCCATTCTTCTCTTAGAATTTCAGTACACACGTGATCCAGGTGTGATTTTTCAAGCTGCCGGGTCTGGGACTTGGTCAGCCATGTAGGAATCTAGCACTTTTACCATCACACCAATTGTTGGCCTCATGGAATTAATTTCTGTTTTTTTTTTTTTTTTTTTCGGAGAAGATGTG